ACATGATGATCGACGATGATCTCTTGCTCGGCAAATTCACCAGTCATCTCCATTCGTTTTCAGTTTTGTGAATGCGTTGAATGCATCCGCCTTCGTCACCGTCGTCTATGCAAGAAGTGGTATCGTCGACGTCAGGACAACAGCAACAACTCCAGAATCAGCATTCGCTCATGCAACGTCTTTTGATGGGTGGTGGCAGTACGACAGCACAACCGTCGAGTGCAGCACGGAACGGTATTGAAGATATCGCTGCAAGGCTCCACAAACAAAACGGCAACGCTGCTGCATCGACTAACTCCACCGGGAATGGCTATTTCTCGGTGCGTTCATTTCCGTTATTTATCATCATGTTATTTTTCCGAATATGCTTCACACTTCGGACTACCACCTATGGGGTTCATTTAGAAATATGTGGATGTTTATGTATTTGCAACTTTTCCATATATTTGAACCTGTGTTTCCAATGAACGAGATTACCAAATTCATTATATTTTTGCTGAAGGTGTCCAAGAAGTTTTGAGAATATCCTAATTCGGTGTACATTTAAATTGATTCAAAATTGATAAATAAGCCTTTCTTCATCAATAGGGGAGTAGATGGGTCTCTTAGAAAGAGATGTATGATGTCAAAGGCTCCTTGAAGAGTTCTAAAACTTTTTGGACGTAGTATTTGGTTTCCTCCAAAATGGCCGGAAATCGCTCCCCTGGCACAGTTACTGCGCCTTTTCTGTCAGTGCTGAGTATTACAGGAAATTGCAAGGGCCCTGACAGTTGAAGTTTTAAAACTTAGGTAAATTCAAAATATTGTTCAGTAAACAGTGCTCATATCTCCTGCTCAATAAGCGTTTGCTTTTCATTCGTCTATCCTCCACGACCGCTTCTTTTATTATCGTCATATGATCACGTAAAAATGCTTACTGCACTATTATTTTGAAAGGCTCACCGATCATTTAGAGATCTGAGGACACCTTGCTAAACTGTTTTTTTTATCATCACGACTTCGATAAAATTCTGTGTTAGTTGGCTAATCGATGTAATATTGCAGACGGATCTCACTGCATCATGGGGCGATCAGTTGAGCATCTCCAACAACACGCCCATGATGCACTTGACCTGCCTGGAATGTGGCATTAACAAGAACAACAGTGAAGATATGGAGGTGAGAGATCTCTTCAATTTGTTTCTCATATTAGTTACAAAATTTTTGTTTTCTTGTTGTTTTTAATGCTATCTGCGACTTGAAATTTCCTGACTATAATCGCCTTCTACGCAATTGTCGGAATTCATTCCAAAACAGAATCATTAATAGACGCAATCCGATAGAGATATGATGATACTTCTTAGCAATGCTGTCTGCTTACTTTGTTTTATTTTGCCCATTTTTCGATCATTTTTTAGGTTCGCATTTGCTTTTCTGGTTTTGAATGTAACTGCCCCTATTCAGGTGCATTTGAAGCGTGAACACTTGAACTGGCTGCCGTTTCAATGCCCGATATGTCTCTCGGAGAGAGCATCTGATGCTGAAATGAGGGAACATCTGCATTCTTCACATCGGAAAAACATGAATAAGGTTAGCACCATATATCCGTATTTTACCATATAGTGAATCCGCATTTTAATATACCTCAAACGGCCCTACCTTGATTTTTGAGTAGCTAATTTTCACTTAAATTTGGCGGTAGTTCTTCAAACTTCCCACTGGATCTGCTCAGCTAACCTTAAGGAAAGTCGAATGTCGAGTTAGAGGTCGTACAGGAGGACTCTAATACCTCCAGTAGTTCCTGTTGTCTGCAAATAGGAGCATTCATCCAGCGAATTCCAAGATGAACACTTGATTTATCCACTCCTTCCGGCTTCAAATTGAAGTTTTTGATAACTTAAATTAGGAGAGATTTTTCTTTTCGCAACTTGTTTGAAATATCAACCGTGCGGCACTTCCGCAGTATATTTTTTTTTTAAATTTTTTTTATCATTCTCATTCCTTGCATACCAATAACTCGATAGGCCTAAAGTATACACGTTGTTTCGGGCCCTCTAAGTACAAACCTTCCTAGGAATTTTACAGGATTGCTAAGCAAATCTATCAAATTGATCTA